TCTTTTCTTCATTAACAATTTTCGTTACCTCTATGTTTCCATAACTCACATTTTGAACTAAATTTAATTTTAAATATACATTTAAAACCAAATATATTATTAGAATAAATTGCAACGATAAATGAAAGTCTTTGGTTGTTCGTAAGCGCATAGATAGACAATGGGCTTTCGAAACCCGAATTTTATCGCCGTAAGCCTACAGACTTACCGTTGAGCCATTAAGGGGCAAACGAAAGCCAAAAACATCCAAGATAAAAGCCAAAACATTCAAAACATGCTTCTGAATTAATAACAGCGTCTTCATTACTTGAATCAAGAACCTCCTGAAGTGTTCACTGAGAAGTAAAGCCCAATCAGTATGTCAATCTTCAGAGAACGTGAAAGAAAGCGACAAAAGTTGTGAAGAAATATATCACCTTAGATAAGTCGTTTAACTTGTTAGTAATTAGCTTTATAGGGTATTAGCGTCACCAGAGTGTAATAACTTAAGCAGTGAAGAAATCAATACTGCGGAAAGGAGCAGCTAGAGGGCTCCATGATTTGAAACTCCAGTTACTTATGCTTTACACACATGAAGAAACTAAGTAAGGGGACATCTATATGGGTCTACAGTATGAAAGTTCAGTTTCTTATGTTTTACACACATGAAGAAACTAAGGTGGGGCACAGCGAGAGGAGTCGATAGCATGAAAGCCTAGTTTCTTATGTTTTACGCGCATGAAGAAACTAGGTAGGGAATAGAGATGAGTCGATAGTATGAAAACCCAGTTTCTTGTGTTTTACACACGTGAAGAAACAAAGTAAGGGGACACCTATATGGGTCTGTAGTATGAAAATTCAGTTTCTTATGTTTTACACACGTGAAGAAACTAAGTAAGGGGACACCTATATGGGTCTATAGTATGAAAGTTCAGTTTCTTATGTTTTACACACGTGAAGAAACTAAGTAAGGGGACACCTATATGGGTCTATAGTATGAACGTTCAGTTTCTTATGTTTTACACACGTGAAGAAACTAAGTAAGGGGATACCTATATGGGTCT